CCTCGCCGCGCCCCTCCTCTCCCCTCGACCCCTCCCTTCCCCTCCCCTCCCCGGTCCCCGTTCCTCCAGTCCGTGCCCGCGTCCGCCGGCTCTGACTCAGCGTCCCCAGAGGAGCGTGCACCAGTGTGAAGCCCAGAGCAGGCCCCTTTGGGCTCTTTCTCCAGGTGGCTTCTCCCCTCATGACGCACACGGCTTGGAGATGCGGCTCTTCATTCAAGAAAAGTGTAGCACCTACTGTGTGCAAGGCGCTGGGCAGTGGGCCTAGGAACATCTTGTGTCCCTCGGGAGAGAAGGGCTTGGGTGCAGGTGCCCAGGTGCAGGCGCTGGGACTGATGCCATTCCTCAGTTTACCCTCTCTGCACCTGCTGTAAAATGGGGTTTGTGGTCATACCTGGGCCCACAGCGACAACGCTGTCACTGAGGGCCTTGGGCCTCCAAGATAAGGAGTGACCAGGCTGCTCCTTCGACACTCCCTGGCCTAAGCAGGCGCTTCCATCTGCCATAACGGAACAGAGCATGTCTTTTCTCCTAGAAGGTGGCTGGCCTGGCTGATCTTAAAGACTGGACACCGTCAGCCTGGATCCTGGTCCCAGCTCTGCCTCTACTTTATCCTTGGCAAGGGAGCCCACCCAGAGGGGGTGTTGGATGGCTCGTCTCACCTGGCCAGCACTGATGGGACCACAATTGCAGGACAGGCTGCATGGGAGTGAAAGAACTTCTGGGACAGCTGTGGGTTCCCCTGAGAACGGGCCCCACTGGCCCCATTGTCATCTCACTGTGATGGAGGGGGGAACAGATTTGAGTGAGTCCCCTTAGGAAAGTTAAAAGTGCTAGCACTCCCTGGTGGCATCAGTCACCATTGTGGGGACAAATACCAGGCCTAGGAACCAGGAGACTTTGGATTCTGAGAGTTATGTGACCTTGAGAAAGTCACATAACTCTCCTGGTGCCTCAGTTCACTTTTCTTTAAAATAATAATAATGCCCCATGAGACTGTGGTAAGGATAAAATGACTTGACACATAGAACAGTGCTTGGACATAGTAAGTACTCAATCAGTGTTGGCTGTCATCGTTAGAATTGCTTAAGGACTTGGGAGAGTTTCACTTGTCCATCAGGAATTGAGAAGAAAATTGTGCTTGAGAAGAAAATAGTATATTAAGATTATAAATTGAGTTTCAAATATTTGACTGTTTCACATTATTCAAAGGTCTGGTTGTTAGTGGGTTTTGTAATGTACTAAATGCATAAATAGAATAATAACATTTATTATGGTTTTTTCATGTGTAACATTATTATATTGAATAACTATACAGTAGCCATAGATGGTCACATCTATGTCACAGAAGCCACCTGCAAGGCCACTCTGAAGCTGATGTTGATGTGACCCTTCTTTGTCTAATTCCCCACAGGTATCACCTCCCCCAGAAACCTTCCTTCTTCTGGGCTCTCACAGCACCTGTCTTGATATAAATTTTTGTCACTGAAAATCTTTCTAAAGCAGGTTAGCAAAATGGTATAATTTATTTCCCTTTGGTAACAGAAGGGCAGCAGCCCTAGTGTTAATATTCCTACCACAAATCCTCATTATCTTGCAATGGAAATGTAACTGTGGGAAGTGGGGGCCACTGAGCTGATAACAATCACCCCCGATCAGCTCTGGAGAGGCTTTGGAGGTTAAATTCTATGGTAGTTTGAAGTAGGCAAAAGGGAGTTCAGGGTGATCTCTGTTGAATTTACCATGGCTCCAGGCCTAGATCTCAGCTTTACCGGATTTTCTGCTGGAATTTTTCGACCACAGGACACCCAGTCACCCTGTTGAAACCCACAAGAGACCTAGGGAGGATTTGTTAATTCATCACGGGGGAAATGTTCTTCATAGGGGTGGAGCCCTTAGGGCCAAGAAGCCAAACAGGTGAGGCAAAGGTAAGCAGGGACTCCAGCACACCAGGGGACAGGGGAGGGAGGATGGCCTCTTGGTGGCTCTCAGAAGGTCAGGCTGAGGCCTCATGCCCTGAACCACTCCATGCAGAGACCACTTGTGCAGACTGCTCGTGCCCACCAGAGTGAATATTTTGAGGCTCCCTGTACTCTTTTTAGTGTTCCAGCTGTTGCTATCCTATGGGTTCATACAGTATTATTCCAAACAGGGTACAAATTTATACATTTGTTTATGGGCCGAATTGTGTCCCTTGAGAAATCCATATGTTAAGGCATAATCCCCAAAGTGACTGTATTTGGAGACAGCACCTCTAAAGGGGTAATTAAGGCTAAATGAGGTCATAAGGGTGGGGCCCAAATCCAATAGGACTAGTGTTCTTATAAGAAGAGGAACAGACACCAGAGATCTCTCTCTTGAGAGAGCAGAGAGGTCATGTGAGCACATAGTGAGATGATGCCAGCACATAGTGAGATGATGCCACCTATAAGCCAACAGAAGAGGCCTCAGAATGAAACCTACCTTGGTGGCACCTTGATCTTGAACTTCCCAGTCTCCAGAACTATGAGAAATAAATTTCTGTTGGGTAAGCCACCCAGACTGTGGTACTTTATAATGGCAGCTTGAGCAGACTAAGACAACACCCAATGGGCAAAAGGAATACATTGGTAAAGAAAGACAGAGGGACTGCCCTGGTGGTCCAGTGGTTAAGACTCTGCATTCCCAATGCAGGGGGCCCGGGTTCAATCCCTGGTCAGGGAACTAGATCCTGCATGCTGCAACTAAAGATCTCACACGCGGCAACGAAGATACAGCGTGCTGCAACTAAGACCCAGCACAGCCAAATAAATAAATATTTTTTTAAAAAGGAGCTTTCTGTCTAGGAGGGGAAAAGATGATAAATAAGTAAATATAATTTCTGATTCTAAGGAAAATTCCAGTATTATGGGGGGGGGGGCGGGCGGCAGGCAATGGTTTTCTTATATTGGGCCTTAAAAAGGCCTCTCTGAGGAGGTGACATTTGAGCTCATCAAGGATGACAAGGAGCCAGCTTTGTGCCTCTCAGGGAAGAACATTCCAGACAGGAGAATTAGCTACAAAGGTCCTAGGTGGGCAGGAGGCACAGCAAGGCCATTGTGGCTGGAACATGAAAAATGAGGTTGGGAGGTGCACAGGCCCAGGGATTGAGGATAAGTTGAAAAGTCTTTGGAGGGGTTTAAGCAGAGGAGGTGAATGATCTCATTTATCTGATAGAGATGAAGTTAACACTGTCCCCAACATCTAATTCAGGAGATAGACAAGAAAACAGGCAAAAATCATAGCAGCCTGATGGGTACTTTCCTAGGAGAAGCTAAGGCCATGGGAAAGCATGTGAATTTCACCAATGTTAACCTCCCCGCCCGCCCCCAACTGTAGGTCTTTATCACATGCAATTAAATGGAAACTTATCAAAGGATTTGTGTACTGCTGCTTTTTTTTCTCGACCCTCCCCCCCCAACAATATTAAATAACCTCAGATGGCACATTGGTTCCAGCCCTTAGGTTTTTCAACTTTACCCAATTTTGGACCTCCTAACTTTTGGGGTTGGCGGTGGTAGGAGCAAAGAGGATTTTGCTTGCAGGTGGGCAACTTCTTCCATGGGGGAAGGAGTGTTCTGACCCACTATATTTCTCCTGCGGCAGAAATAACTGGCACTAAATATATCCACTTACAATCTCAGCGCTTCAGCTGAGGCTTGTTCTTGAGTGGCAACATTAAACAAAAGCAAGGAGCATGTCTCTGAACGTATCTTGTAGGAATTGCAAACTATTAACAGGTGTGAAATATATCTGTCTGAGAAGGGAAAACAAAGATCCTGGTGAGTTAGTGATGATGGGGTGGCAGTGGGGCGGTGCAGGGCGAGCAGTGGGAAAGTACTGTCAGGAAGGGGCAGGAGGTGGAGCCAGGTCCTGGAGGGGCTGGAGGTAGGTCAGGTTATCACTGTCATGCTCCGTCCATTTACCATGATTACCACGTGCTTCCAGGAACAGCTCATCATTCAACCAGTCTCATAGATGGAGTCTGCAGGTGAGGCCTGACAGTACTTTTCTCTTCCAGGGCCTCCTGGTCCAGCCATCACCTCAGTTGGGCATCCGGGCCCCACTTTCCCCTCCCTCTCATCATTGCTCTGACCCAAGGCACCTGCCCCGTCGCGTAGGAGCTGAAAAGCGGTCCACTGCGGTCTAGCCTAGGAGTGATGCAGCTGCAACAAATGACCAGGCCGGCCTCTTCCAGGCAGAACACCTGAGCTCTCCTTTGCTTACAGAGTCTCCGTCTGTCTGCAGCCTTCGCCTTCCCAAAGACCCGCCTTACCTCCTCCCCCTCCCCGGGCTAAGAAGGACCATCAGGGCTCAAGCTGGGGAGAAAACCCCGCCCAGCATGCCACGTTCAGTTCAGGGGTGGCCTCT